TTCTTCCTCTACGGCCGCGTCGACGGGAAGGACTCCCTCCACCCTGGCTCTGTCACCCTTGTCCACGCTAGCTACAATGTCCTCCTCCTCGAGGTCGACTCGAAGCCCCCTCCCCCTCCTCCCCCCAGTTGCAGCACGCCAAGAGCTTCGCCGCCACTCCCGTCTGCGAGGGTAGAAACGCGTCTCTGAGGCGATCTGCTTTGAGCATGAGAAGAGAGAAGAGAGAGATGAAATATAAGTTTTGGGGGGGAAATGGTTAAGGGTATTTTAGGGATTTGGTATATACTTTCTCCATGTGTTGTTTTGAAAATATAAAAAAGGGTTGATACATAACTACTTCTTGGGTTGAGGGTTTTGGCACACAAAAAAATATAGTTTTTGGGTCCTAGACACATTTTTCCTTAAAAATTATAACTTTTTCAAAATAAAAGTTGTAACATTAAAATTCCAAGTCCCAAAGTAATGCTTCTAATAAAGACATACGAAAAAGCGATTTGGCTCGCGGGTGAACCGCGAGCCATCAACTCGAGTTCAAAGACATACCAGGCATACAATCATAAAGATGGACCCCCTACTGCTATTAAAAGTTCACTCTATGATGGCTCGCGGTTCACCCGCGAGCCAAATAGCAAAGTTCAAAGACATACCAGGCATACAATCATAAAGATGGACCCCCTACTGCTATTAAAAGTTCACTCTAAATTTATGAAAAACATCTCATTATTATCATCTATTATTAAAAAGTCCATAAAGAGTTGACCTTGGTCAAGAAAAACAACAAGAGACAAGATATTTAGCCCTTAATTTATCAAGAAAAAGAAAATCTTACGACAAAGCTCGGAAGATATCAGTGATCTGCCCCTTCAGTTTCCGCCAACTCCTTCAGTGATTGGACAGACAAATTCCAAACCCCCCCCCCCCCCCCCCAAGAAACCCAAATCAATACCTCAAATGAATCAAACTCGACGCAGTGAGATTCCAAATAGGAGCTCAAAGCTGCCACTATTCAGAGACCGAAACCCGTTCAAGCATTAATTGCGGGTTACAAGAAAGAGAAAAGGTTCAGGCAGGGATCCTGCCAATGTCGGATCCGGATCCGAATCAAGATCCGACTCGTGAGTTGAAGGGCAAAAATGAAGAGGTTTCGAGTTGGGAAATTTCTAGTTTTAATCCCTCCCAAGTTTTCGCAGACCTTGGTCGGGGATGGGGACAAATTTTCAAAACCAACCGTTTTAAACATTTAATTGCAAAAAACGACCGTTTTCGATAATAATTGCAAAAACCGACCTGTTTTCAGCCCAGCGCTGAAAACAGGTCGGTTTTTGTAAAAAATTCTCCGAAACATCACGGGAGTTCAACTCCCGTGAAGTTTATGGAGAAATTAAACTTCACGGGAGTTCAACTCCCGTGAAGCGTAATTTGTGCTTAAAACTCCACGGGAGTTCAACTCCCGTGGAGTTGAAGTCAGCAAATCCAGAGAATCGATCTCTGGAAATTGTGACTGCAGCTTCACGGGAGTTCAACTCCCGTGAAGTTGCAGTGCCAGTTTTCCAGAGAATCGATCTCTGGAAAATTGGCACTGCAACTCCACGGGAGTTGAACTCCCGTGGAGTTTGCTGCCACCTATTTAAGCGCGCGTGACCCCCCCCCCCCCCCACTGCAGCTTCACGGGAGTTCAACTCCCGTGAAGTTGCAGTGCCAGTTTTCCAGAGAATCGATCTCTGGAAAATTGGCACTGCAACTCCACGGGAGTTGAACTCCCGTGGAGTTTGCTGCCACCTATTTAATGGCGAGTCATTGTTCAGACCATATTGGTTCGGGAGAGGTAATACGAATAAATTAGATATATATTTCTTCGATTAATGTAATTTTTTAATGAATATACTTAAAACTGATTCTCGTTTTATGTGCAGCCCGTACCAGAGTACACGATGATCGAGCATTCCCATAGTCATTCGGCATGGGTCATAGAGGATGAGAGGGTACTAGCTTTGATCGCTCAGGCCGGTTTTCGACCGTGTTCGACGATTCGTTATATCAGGCTTGATTGGCCGCTTATCACTGCTTTGATTGAGAGGTGGAGGCCAGAGACCAACACCTTTCACATGCATATAGGGGAGTGCACCATCACTTTACAGGACGTGGCCGTCATACTTGGGCTCCGGATTGATGGACCGGTAGTTACGGGCACCGACGATCATAGTTGGCCGGAGGTATGTGGCCGGCTACTTGGACAGGTTCCCGACTTGAGGAGTGGTGCGATGAAGCTATCGTGGCTTCGTCAGACATTTCAGGGCGACATACCAGAGGATGCCTCTGATGAGACGCTCCAGTTTCATGCTCGTGCATACATATTGCACATGATAGGGTGCGTACTATTTCCTGATGCGAGCAAGACTCTCGTACATGCACGATGGCTGCCACTGCTGGAGGATTTTGGTGTATGCGGGGCACTATCGTGGGGCAGTGCGGTGTTGGCATATTTGTATCGAGAATTGAGTAGAGTATCTCTGATGCAGAATAAAGAATTCAAGGGATGCTGTACGTTGATACAGATTTGGTCATGGGAGCGCATTCATATTGGACGACCCACTTTACTTATGCACCGTGACTTAGAGGGGCAGTATCCGTTGGCATACAGGTATAATTGTACACACACATATTTCATTCGTAACCTGAATATTTGTACTTATATATTCGCTATTCTGCATATAGGTATAACGTGCGATACGCTCAGTACAAATCAGCGACGCGTCACCGTCAGTTTTACCGAAATGAGCTTGATGGCCTCCAGCATGAACAGGTAAATATAAAACTCAAGAAGTATGAATATTATAGTTTTTCTGTATGATACTGATAAATGTTTTATTTTATTTCAGTTCAAGTGGAGACCCTATACACCGCCGGAGCTCGATATACATTCTCTTGCACCTATCTGCCGAGATAGTCCCGGCTTGTGGAGAGCCAGAGTTCCATTGATCTGTTGGGAGATCGTAGAGATGCATGTACCGGACCGTGTGCTACGGCAGTTTACACTCTCTCAGCATATTCCAGATCCTGTCGAGCAGATCAATCGTCGGCGGCGCCCTACATCGCACCGGACTGACTGGGCCGTAGTCCGTGCGGACTACATAGGCAGGTGGGTTCAGAGGTGGGATTGCATACAGGATACGAGGCCCACAGCTGTTGACTATACCACGTATATGCGTTGGTATTGGGGTATCACACGTAGATGGATCACGCGTGACCCACAGCCTTTAGCTGGACACATGCCACGCCCACCGACAGATAGTTACATCCCTAGTGGGATGAACGAGAGAGATTACGTAAGTTTCTAAGCTAAATTATAATATTTTTTATTGAGTTGATACTTAATAAATTGTTTACCACGCAGGTCCGTGTTTTAGATAGCATTGATGCTGATATTGATGCGCACGTGACTGAGATTCAGGATCAGGTGGCGTTAGGTCTCCTCAGCAGGATCAAGAAGAGCATAGCGCAGGTGTTCCATAAGACTCACGTCGACGAGTTCGCAGGCCGTGAGGACAGGTCTCGCTCATTTGGACGGGCGTACGCTCGACGTCGACGGCCGCGTGATGATGACGCCGGCACTTCGCATGCCGATGGAGCCGGCACTTCGCATGCCGATGACGCCGGCACTTCGCATGCCGATGACGCCGGCACTTCGCATGCCGATGGAGCCGGCACTTCGCAGCTTCATACACAGCCGGATACTCAGATAGTTGCGGCTCATCAGCAGGGACCGTCGGATACTCAGATAGTTGAGGCTCATCAGTAGGAACCCAGGGGGCGGGGAAGAGCGAGGGGGAGGGGGAAGAGAGGGAGAGGAAGGAGGGGAGCTATATTGGGTTGTATATGAACTTATTTTGATAAATTTTGTAACTTTCCTGAATTTTCAAATACTGAACTTTTGAAGATAAATTGTTGTTCATATACATAATCGTGTGTGTTTAATTCATGGTTGAATCATGTATATATTGTTGTTTGCAAATAAATTGGCATATATATGAGTTATAATTCATTGTGGAATCATGTATATATTGTTGTTTGCAAATAAATTGACATATATATGATTTACAGGTAAATATACAAAACCTGCACAGAAGCTGTGCACGCTGGGTGACCTGCAACTTCACGGGAGTTGAAATCCCGTGAAGTTGCAGTGCCAAATTTCCAGAGACTCGATCTCTGGCAAATTTTCGACTGTAACTCCACGGGAGTTGAACTCCCGTGGAGTTTTAAGCAAAATTAAGCTTCACGGGAGTTCAACTCCCGTGAAGTTTAATTTCTCGATAAACTTCACGGGAGTTGAACTCCCGTGATGTTTCGGAGACTTTTTTTACAAAAACCGACCTGTTTTCAGCGCTGGGCTGAAAACAGGTCGGTTTTTGTAATTATTTTCAAAATAGGTCGTTTTTTACAAATAAAATGCTAAAAGGGTTGGTTTTGAAAATTTGTCCTCGGGGATGGAGGAGCCGTTTTTGCCTTTTTTCCAGCTGCGTTTTCATTTGCCGTTACCTTTTATGAAAAGCCCACTGACTTCTCAGAATTTGCATGTTCGTCCAAAGCGAAAAAATAATAATAATGGAGTAGCTTATCTAACTACCAGTTAGGGAGTATATTAGACAATTTTTTGCTAAAACCTTGGGATCTTTGATAATATAATTGTTTCTAGTTTGTATAATAAGTATTTTTGCTTCATATTATAATGATGAAAGAGAATTGACGTTAGTGAACATAATACTGATTAAATAGAAATATTAGTAGGTTAGCAACTAATGATTAATGAACCAGTTCCCTTGTTTTCCATCTAATTGTATAAAAAAAAATCAGAAAATTCAAGTTTTTAAATTTATTAAACACGCTCAATGCTCTTTATTTTAAAAAATATTTCACCAAATCATTATGTTTGAGATACACAAATTAACAAGGTGTGACCAAATTGCCAATTACTCTTGGTATAAATATAAAACCTTCAGGTGTATTTACGGAAGAATCCCTACCTTAATTAGCCCAGGAAACTTTACAAAATATGTACTTCAAGACAATCAAATACTTAGTATCTTTTACGTTGCTATCAAACGCTTCTTGTTCTTGTTTAATTAAGAACAATCCAGCTATTTCGATATTCCCAAAGTGACGAAAAGACTACTGAGGTTGTGTTTATTTTTAGCTTGGAATAAGGGGTTAGCAAAGGAATTCATTTCGTTTTTGTCTTCTTAAAGTTCAAGTTTAGTTATCATTAGAGCTAATGAATTACTTTTGGACAAAAGACAAGCTGTCATCAAACTCTCCCAAAAACGACTTAGTAATTCATGCCTTAATTCAATGCAAAATAGATAAAGTAAAACGTCAAGGTAATGATATACTATTTATCATAAATATCGTGTAGTGTCAGAGTTATATCAAAATCCTAGCCGTGTAAATTTTATGCGTCTTTTTTACGTTCAAATAAAGTCGATATATAGCTTTTCAGGGTTGGTGTTTTTTTAGGGGCTGTTTGTTTGCCTAAAAAAAGAGGGAAATCAAAGAAATGGAAAACTATTTCTAAGAAAAATTGTTTTGAGAATGTTTGGTTGGCTAAAAAAAGAAGGAAATCAAAGAACTGGAGATGAGATGATGTTAGTTGTCACCTTATTATTGGATGATGTGAGTGATTTTTTAGGAAAATTTATTTTGATGTTGTTTGGTTGGTGAAAAAAAATAAGGAAATGAATTATAAGAAACCCATTTCCTGTAATAGGTTGTTTTCTTTTGTTTGGTTCATTCTTAAAAATAAGAAAATAGATGAGATGTGATGAGTTGTCATTATATTATTGAATGATGTGACCCACACTTAAGGAAATCGTTTTCCTAACTTTTTGTGAGGAAATGGGTGGAAATGAAATGTTAATGAGATGAGATGAGTTGTCACCATCTTATAGGATGATGTGAGTGATTTGAAATGATGAGATGATATGAGTTAAGTGATGTTGTGGATGAAAATAATATTTTATTAGATGTTGTGAATGAGTTATTGGATAAAAATAATATTTTATTGAATGTTATGAGTGAGTTTTAGGGATGAAAATGGATGAAATTACATTTTTTGAGATTTCCACATTTTCATTTCCATTTCTTGGTTTTTAGGAAATAAACGAAACAGACCCTTAGAAGGAAATTCAACCAGAATTTTTTACATTAACAGTGTTTAGCCAATGCATGAAGATCGCAATAGAATGATAATCATCGCGTCATCATGCGCTAAATTACCCAGGGTTAAAAAGGATACGCAAATCTCACTCGTTGATAGAAAATCTAACGGTCGGGATCATACGCACCTCCGAAAGCGGTGTTTTGACCGCCCACAGTGATCACCTACTCCTCAACATATATTTCCCAAAATGCCCCTACACGCCAATCCGATCCCACTCGCTCACGCCTCTCTCGGGGCTGTTTGTTTCATCATTTTTATGGAAAAAGAATAGGATTTGGGTCTGACAATGGCAAAATTATAAATAAATAATTCTTTATGAATCCTATTCTTGAGTTTGGTTCCCCAAAAATTTATAGATTTCGGAATCTATAAAGTTGAAAAAGTATGTTCATTTTATAGAAATCCAAAATCTAATAATTTGGGCGGATTTGGAGCAGAAAGCCGACGCATTTGTATTATTTTTCCTCTCTCTTTTTTTCGGATTTTGTTTTTTCACAAACCCAATATTATTATGAGATCAAATCATATTCTCATTCCAAACCAAACTAAAGAATATGAATTGTAGGGTTTCTATAAAGTTGGTTTCTATTTTTTCATGTTATGAAATAAACATAGAAAAAAAAGAATTCCATGACAACATAAAATTATCTTAAAATTTTTTATGGATTAGCTAGGAATCCATAAAAAAATATACGATTCCTAATCTTATTCTTGCCCAATGTTGAACCAAACACCCCCTAAAGTTAATTAACTTCCCTAATTTTCTCTCTCCCATAAAAGCCAGTTCAAAACTATTCTCTCTCCTAATTTTGTTCCTCTCTCATCACTCTGTTTCTCTCTCTATCCATCGCTTCGTCGTTGATGATTGATCGCCGTTCCCAGTCCGCGTGATTGGGGAAATAAACGAAACCCTAATCTGTTAGATTCCTCTCGGGTAACTATATTTCCCACCAAATTATCGCCTTCGTTGGCGGTTATAGGGGGAGGTACTGTTCAATGCTGATTTCTAGGGTTTGCAGCGGATTGATGCTGATGTTGGATCTGTGATTTTTGTTGTCGTTGTTGTCTTCAGGGTTGGAAGAGAGAAAAGCGAGAAGGGGGAAAGGTTAGGTATTTATGTCCCATAATCAATCTAGGTTTGAGAAGAGCGACGGCCAGCTGAGGAAATCCGGCGGTCGATCCGGCCACGGCAGAGGGTTCTCCGGCGGTGGCGGTGCAGGGAAGGGCGGCGGTAGCGGTGGCGCCGCTCATCCCCATCATCTATCGTCCTCTTCTAATCAGCCTTCGTCATCAAGTAATCGGAGGTGAGTTTGTGTTCTGTTTTATTTTGCTAATTTGGGCAAGTTGGCTTCTTAAAGTTTGGATCTTTTGAGTCATTAACTATCGTTATTGATGATTCCTATTTTAGAATAAGAAATTTCAAATTGTCAGAGTTTGAGTTTTTATTTTAAATTAGCGTGTTCTATACTTCTTAGGAAGAGTTTCTACTTCTGAGGAGTTTGGTGGCGGGCAAGGTTAGTAATTGAGAGTTTTCTGTTTTAAGTTTTGGTTGTGGACTTAGAACTAAAGAGGCAAATGATTATCATGTCTAAGTTTATTAAATTTGGAGAACTATGCTAATGCATTAGAACAGGAAACTATGAGAGGGGGTCTCTTAAAGCTTTGTCTTTATTTATAGTTTTTTTTTTGCTGGTTTGTGCAGTTTAAAGAAGTCCGGTAATGGACAAGGAGGAGGGCAGCCAAGGGTAACTCCTGTGAGCCTGGGCCCCGATACATCTGCGAACACTGCCTCCCTGAGAGCTGTGCAGAATGGTGCTCATGGTCAAACCCCGCCTCAGGGTAAGTTGAGTTTACTATTTAGACTTGCATAGTGGTTTCAACTTACAAATTTAAGTATCCAATAAGTTTATAAGGGTTGCTTATTTCAAACTTTACTTCATAATCTCATGTTTCTGATTTTCTCTTGTCTTTTTGAAAATTTTCAACTTCAGTGAACATCTGGAAATTTTAAATATCTCTTCCATTTTCCTTCGCTTTTCTTTCTACAGCTTCATCTTTGCACTTCCACCACTATGCTTTTCCGAGGTCAATTAACAGTATCTCCTCATTCCCTTCTCTACCCT